TTATCTTTCTGACCATAGCCCTCCAGCTCAGGTGAGCCTTCCTTTTCTTCCTGATCTCCATACAGAGATCGAGAAGGAATGGAAGAGGCCGTTTTCCTCACGCATCCATCGGTTCCAGCATACGAGTTGCCAACATCGAGGGGATGCGCGAAAGAGAAGGCTATGAGAAGATGCCCCTTGTAGAAGAGATGCTGGCTAGTCACGATGGCGGTGCTTCAGGCGTATCAGACTGATCTACTGAAAGGCCTGGATAAAGGGGAGGGCCTTTCTCCTGATGAGGTAGCTGAGCTGCGCCGCACCACGGATCTTGCTCTCCGTGCTACTAAGCAGGCCGCCTCTGCTATGGGCAGGTCCACGGTGGTTACGGAGAGACATCTGTGGGTGAACCTGGCAGATATCGGGAAGAAAGAGAGGGGCTTTCTTCTCGATGCTCTGGTTTCGCCTTCCGAACTTTTCGGTACCTCCGTTGAGACCGTGGTTGAAAAGTTCAGGGAGGCGAAGTCGCGCTCAGCGGCCTTCAAATCGTTCATTCCACGAATTGGAATTTGGACCTGACGAGCTGATGATCTGAATCAGGTAAGAGAGAGATGCAGAGCATGTGCAGAGCAGGGGGGCGCAAGGACCAGGATTAAGAACAGATGCTTTAAAACATTGATTTTGAAACTTGTGAATCCATTTGAATCGTTAGAAGACAGAATCGCGATTCATATATACATAGATTTTTCCATGCACCCTAGTTTTGACGGCATGGCAACAAAAACTTAATTCTTCATCCCAGCGCATTCAACAGCCAGCGCCTGACGCGTCGTCTTCTACGCGCTCAGGACAGTTCGGACATTGCGGTGAAAATCAGAGGTAAAAAACGATATAAATACTGTTCAGTTTCTTGCACAGACCGATCGTTTTGTGTCTTCACACATCAATGTATCGTCACGAGCCGCAGGGTTTAATTTGGCTTTGCTGGTGTATGTTTTTTTGACTCTCAAAGCCGTGATTCCCATCCACTTGCATTATATGACTGACAGACTGCAACATTTTGACTTAAAAATCTTCGTTTGTGTTCTACTGAATAAACAAAGTCACCTACATCTTGGATGCCCTGGGGGTAAGCAGATAAACATCAAATTTTCATTTTTGGGTGAGCTATTCCCTTTAATTTTTGTAAACACAAGTACGACCTGATGACGTCATACAAGTAAACATAAGTAAACATATATATATAAGGTTGAATTGTTATATAAAGTTAAAAGTTTGTTTATTAAAAACAAGTTTTGTAATTATTTCGGACCTTTTGACATTGATAATTCAGATTCGGACCTTTGAATGTAAACTTTGAGAACCCCTGTTCTACACCGTTCTGTCCCTTCACCAATGAACACTCTGATGATTTCCCGGTTTTATGAAGCCTCTCCCTCAGAAATACACAATGGGTTCAGATTGGTTAGCTGGCACAGTGTGTTGTGATTCGCTAAACCGCCTAATGCGCGTTCAGAAATGTCACGTCCCTCGCCTCAGTGCATGTGCTCAATGTTGTATTGTAA